ACTGGCTGCAAAGGGGACCAGGAAACCAGGGCTTCTGTGCTGCATCACAGGTGCTGGACAACTTCCTTCCAATGAGCTCTGATTGCAAATATCCTAATGTGTGTGCTTCTGTACAAAGGTGACAGGATCCCGCTAGGGAGGACAGAACTAGAGTCCCCTGTGGAACACTTCACCTGTCTCTAGATTTTACTTTCCCCTCTCCTGAGTAACAGCCATCTGGGGACAGCTGTACCCAAACTTTCTTCAAAGCTCCCTTGACACATCGGTGAGAGGGATCAGAAAGGTGACCTCAAGTAGACATCATCACGTTCTCTCCTTTCGATGCTAAATTCACATAGGTCAAATCCGCTGCATGTTCACCTAGCACCTGCTGAGTGACAAGTGCATCATGCTGGGTAAGAGCTGTGAGGCGGTGGGGGCCCACAGTGCACCCCGAGTACCCCAACATGCTGACCACTGACATCACCACTTTTGATGCCATGTTGAAAGGTGGCATGGCCACAGAGTCGGCCTGTCCAGCTGAAGATGGAGCCCGCCACCTTCCTGGTGTTGCCCAGGTCTCTGTATCCAGATGAGGTTCAAATTGACCCAGAAACAGTCACAACCACTCTGTGTGCTGCCGTGACATATGCTGTTCTGGTCTTGGAAGCACATTGTGTGGAATTTCTCCCCACACATCTTAGAGTAGATAATGCGTTCATGTTACTTACTCAGGCTTGAGTTTTCGATGAACCTCAGCTTGGGAGTCTCTGTCTAGACCTGAGTGACAAAAGCACTATGGATGCAATCAGCACAGTAGGGTTTTCTGATCTCAAGAAGTAACACACTCTGCAGCTCTAGAAAGAGATACTGGGCAGAAGCAGAAAGTCAGAGACAAGCATTGCCTGTAACTTTTGGAAACAAAGTTCTAGGAAAAGCACTTGAATCTGCTGATGACAGCTGAGGAGTTTACAGCAGCCCTGCTCAATCTGGCATTTGTCAGATCCTGAAGTGGTGACCTGTCTTCCTTTCACTGTCAACCCTGAACCAGGAGTGGAGCACATCACCCACCTGAAATGCTGTGTGGGGAAGGAGCACTGCTCAGTAGTTTCTGGCAGGTGGAGCTGCTGGGGTCACCCAGGCTGTGCAGTTCACATGGGGCAGAGTCTCCGGGGGTGCTTTGAAGGGGACTGTGAATGGGTCACTGGCCCCAGAATGATGGAACCCAGTATCATTTTGTCCCCAGGTTTGCTTTCTCTGTATTCAGTGATCTGTGTATTCACATGATAATCCATGGGGCCGAGGGAGATCCACAAAAGCCAAATCCCACTATGGAGATTCTTCTATTCACTGCATGCCAGCCAGGCCGTCTTCTCCTTCTTTAGTTCCTCTCACAATAAAAACAGCACTTCCCTTTGTTTTTTCATCTAGAATTGCCATGCATATGAGTAACCTTCATTTCTCAATTCACATGACAATAAGTGAAAATGGCATACAGGGCAGCCAAACAATTATTTATAACTTAACTTTTTGGTTTTTTCCCAAAGATCATTTCCTCAAAATGGATGTTCCTGGGATGTCAGTGAAGACAGTACATCTGAAAGGTGAGGCTTTCCAACGGCGGATTTCTTCATCCTTCCAGTCTCTGACCCATGATGGTAGGCATCATGCCTGCTGCTTCCTGTTCCTGAAGGCGAGCACACAGGGGCCCTGCACTTAGGCACATCTCTTCCTCCCCTTGCAGCAGTGGTTCAGTGGGAGTCAGACAGGACTGGGTGTCCAGGCTCTGGGGTCAGGAGCTCTGACACATCCAGGGCACTTAAGGTTTCTGTCTGAGGGTCTGAAGAAGCCTTAGCCTGTCGGCTTCACTCATAGGAAAAGGAACCAGTGGAGTAGGAGAAGGAAGGGGCAGGGGTGAGGACAGAGTCTAGGTAGCTGTAGTCTAGGCCCATCAGAAGGTGGGGATGTGGCTCTGGAGTGTGTGGGGCACTCCTTTCTCTGCTTGGCAGAGTTCCCTGTGTACCATGACACTGAGTGCCCCTCTTGTTTGATGATGATTACAGGAACACTGAGGCCCATTTGCCGGACAGAGCTCCTTCAGGATAGCCATGTTGGGAGCCGGGGGATGGTGATGCTGGGATTATAGTTAGGACAGAGTTGGCACCTGGGGGCAGAGTCAGGGCCATGGCTGCCAGGGCTCAGTAGTATTCTGTGGTGGGGCTGGTGCTGTCACCACCAAGGCCCCCACTGCTGCTGATGTAGGAGCCCCAGCAACAAGAGAAAGTCCTAGTGCAATGGGCTGTGGTGCCTGGGGGTGTGGAATAGTCTCTTGATGATCAGCGGCAAACTGCATGCTGTGGGGTCAGGCACTTCCGGAGGTTGTA